CCTAAACCCTAAACCCTAGGATGTAGGGGGGCTTAGAGTTGAATCCTTCGGGAGCTTTTGGGGGGTCTAGAATCTGGGGTTTTCGGAGGGCTCAAGGTGCAAACAATGCAAGGTTTGGGGCTTAGAACCCTATAGCCGCCCGTAAGTAGATAGAATAGGGCTTTGGGTATACTATAATAAGACCCACACATACCCCATATTCTATCTACTTAAGGAGGACGATAAACCCTAGACCCTAAGCTTTAGAGCGTAGGACTTTTGGATGGACTGGCGTTTGGCTTGACTGGCTGGGATTTAGACTGCATTTTTAAATACAAGCAGTAGTAGTAGTAGTACTACTAGCAGCAATACCAGCTTTAGTACCATTATAGGTACTAGTACCTCCACCCCAAAAGTATGCAAATAATAGCCCTGAACCCATAATGACAACCATGAGGGCCGTTTTTCTATCCACTTTTGGGGTACTATAGTATCCTAAACCCTAAATCCTATACCCTAAGCCCATGGGTACCAGCAGCTTCCCAAAGCGACCTCCGCCTCGGCGGCGTTCTGTGCTTTGAGCACCGCAGCCTCCGGGCATCCGGGGAGTTCAAGGGCACAAGGCGGCTGAGGGTTTAGGGTTTAGGGAGGTTTAAGGTCTAGGGTTTAGGGTTTAGGGGGGTTAGTTAGGGTTTAGGGTTTTGGGGTTTTAGGGTTCAGGATTTAGGATTTAGGGTTTAGGGTTATGTAGGAGTCTTTGAAGGGAACTCTACAGGGAGATATAGAACAGTTAGGGTGTAGGGACTAGGGTTTAAAGTGTTAGAAGGCTTGATTACAGAGAATGATATGGAAACTGAGGTTCCCTCAGGGGTTAGTTGCAACGTAGGTGACTACATAGCTAGAATCTGGATTCGAGGGTTTTGGGCTATGGGTTTACTATACAACAGTCATACAAGGGTTGTAAGGGGACAACATTGCCAATTATTCAAGCTCCTACGACAGAAGAAGGTTGGGGCAGGGGTGGGTATTTCATGGAACTTAGTAAGGGACCGTTCCAAGACATCTAGCGGGCAAAAAGCCTTATATATATATATATACATACATATATGTACCCTATCATAATCTAGTAGTTTCCATTTTCTTTTCCATTATCACAATATATCCCTCATAACCCTATAACCTACGATTGATCCCTGTACATATGCTCGGGCTTTTCTTTGGGCGGCTTGTTAATAAAGGGACTTTAATGGGAACCCCAAACCGGGGACTCCAAGAATATAGTAGGAATGTAATAGAACACAAGGACCCTGGTGGGTATATTCCTATTATATTCCTACTATATTCTTGGGGTTCCCTGTTTGGTGTTCCCATTAGAGTCCCTTAAGTTAAAGCCTGCGGGAATTTGGCATTCAAAGCTGAGCACTCGAAGGGTTTAAGGAGTTGATTATCTTACATTAATACTATACTATTGCTTGGGGGGTCAGGGGGACTTAGTAAGTAGGTTAATAATGGGGATAAATGGGCTTACTATATGGGTTATAGGGGTTATTAACCTACTTACAAAAAGTCTCCCTGACCCTCCAAGTGTAGTGTTGTCTTATTATAGTATTGTATTATTATATGATTATATCATTATGTGACAATATTCTTATGTTAGTATATCATTATTAGATTATTAGGTTTCGGGAAGCCCCGAACAGGCCTTCCCAAGACTACATGGGCCTCCCCAACCATCGTAAAATGTAGCTTTTGTCGCCTGATGAAAATTTAACCCACAAAACCTGAAACCCTGCAATCCTAAGCACCAAAACTCCACACCCTCAAGCCCTAAACCCTGATGCCCTAAACCCTAAACCCTGATCCTGTAACCCCCCCCTATACCTGAAAGACACCGACTTACGATTGCACATAAGATGATTTCCTTGCAAGCCATTCGATTCGTCAATCTGATTCACAATCCCTACGTCATATTCTTGAACCTTAAGCCCCTGAACCCTATACCCTAAATCCTAAGCCCTAAACCATGAACTTTAGAACCTAATACCCCTGAATAGCAACCCAACTTAAGTTCAGGCGCCTGCGCTGTTTTGACCTGCTCCACCTGAGGCAATGCTTTTGGGCGAGATCAGTAGCTTTTACTTGGGCACATAAAGGTTTCCCAAAACAAGTGGCGCGTTTTTAAGGGTCCCCATAATAAGGATTATAGTCTTTGGGGTCTAAATTCGCGTCACCCTTTTTAGGGAGACTACCCTATAGGAGTGTATAGTTTAGGGGTGAGGGTTAAGCGCTTATGGTTTTAGCGGTGTAGAGTCTTCTAGGCTCAAAAAGGCTGACGGTTAAGGAGCTTAAAGTCTAGGGTCAAGGAGGGTTCAGGGGTGCAAAGGGATCGATTCTTAAGGGCTTAGCGTTTAAGGATCGTGGCGTTTTTCTGGCCTTTAGTGACTTCGGGAGGCGTAATTAGCAATGACAAGGGATCATTAGTGTTCCTTTTAAGGATTGTATGAATCAGTTTGCCCATCAAACTATAGGCGCACCTTGGGTGCTTAGGGCTTCTAGTTCGGATCTGAATAAATAATTATACGTTGTTGCATATACGTTTCCATCTGTCGTTTGGGGTTGGGGTTTCAGCATCAATTGGGGTTGAGGTCTTGGGTAGGATCCAAGCAAGATCACACGTCCCATTGTGTGTGGTGCTCCCAACACGGCAGTCCCTGCCCTGAAATAACTGGGCAGAATGCCTCAAAGAAATAGGTAAGGGCCCAAATTTGGGGCCGATGCTTGGGACCCCTTACCCTATAGGCCCTAAACTCTAAACCCTAAACTCTGACCCGTGATACGCATCTGGGCTCTACACCCGCAAGCCTCAACCTTGTTCCTTTATGGAAATTTCCTGGTGAATGCGACTCTCAGCCTACACCCATCGGCCCTCCACTCCACACTGCTACCCGCAACCCGGGAACCCCTCGACCCTATACCCTGAAACCCAAACGGGGGTTTCCCAAAATTAGGGGTACCATTTTGGGGTCCCCATAATAAGGATGATAATATTCTGGGGTCTATATTGGGGTTCCCTTATTTTGGGAAATGACCAAATCTCCAACACTTCAACCCCAGACCAGAAACCCAAAGCCTGAACCAGCCTGAACCACAATGAACACTGAAGCCTCTAAAGTCGGATGAGCTCTAAACACCCTGCACCAGCATCCCGAATCTCTATACCCCCAAAACAGTGGAAATTAATGAGAGGGCACCCTACATGTGACCTACAGCCTAAACTCCTTAAAGAGGGGTTACGGGGATATATAGGGGAGCATTATGGGGGTTCTTAAGGAAATACTAGGAGGTTAGACTACAGCTCATACTACCCCAATTATTGGGCGTATGTTGACTGCCCCACCCCCCCCCCCTTCAGAGCTAGTAGACACCTTTCCCTCAAAGGCCAACTGCGAAACCCCTAAACCCGAAACCCTAAACCCTTAAACCCTAATTAACCTCGCAAAACCCTCAACCCTCAATCCCTAAACCCCTAAACCCCTCAACCCCAGCGAGTAAGGCCTCGATTTCGGCGGCTTGCAGGAGTGTGTCCAGCTCCGCCTTTCCCCGAGGAATAGGGTTGCAGGTTAAGGGTTAAGGGTTTAGGGTTTGGGGTTTAGGGTTCAGGGTTAGGGGTTTAGGATTCCGGGTTTAGGGTTTAACATTTACTGCTTGCAGAGGTTAGGTTGAAGTTCAGGCTCTAGCGTTTAGGGCTCAAGGCTTAGGGTTAAGGATGTAGCCTAGGCTACCCTACAGTAGCGTCATGTTAAGTTGAATATCTGCTATCAGGGGTGGGAGCACGAAAAGTCATCACGAGGATCCCCGGAGCACACACCCCGAATCCCAAACCCTACAAGCCAAAAGATTGGCCATGACACGAAAGAAATGATAACATAGACAACACCACATCAATAAACTCAGAGCCTGAATCCGGAGATCCAAAAAGATTGATCCACTCAACCGTAAACTCTCTCAACTGTACAGCCCTTACTGCAGAGTGAAAAACAAATCCCTCTAACCATGCATCCCTAACCATTAGCCCCCCAATCCTTTGCAAAAGCCCTACATCCCTACGACTCACGTTAGGCTTGTAATTTAACGCGTACTCCATTGCAATAATGTCTATTACAACTGCAACTGTCGTTTCCATTATCCCCCATACATGGCTAATAAACCCAAACACCTAAATGAAGCATTTTACCGCCTCATGCCTAGACTTCTCAAGAAATCAATCCTGGCGTCTAGGGGTCAGGGCCTAGAGTTCAGGGCTTGGGTTTAGGGTTAAGGATTTAGGGTTCACCACAAGGACCATGCTCCAAAAAACACGACAGAACACACTTATGAACCCATATGCTATACATCTTCAGCCCACACTCTAATAGAGCTGAAGGTGGCGGAGT